TATTTAATCAGTTAAACTTGTTACATCAGCGCTGCACAACGAAGCAGAGGCCTAGTGTTGGTTAATCATTCAGAAAAGTAATACAGTAAATGATAAATAAAAGTTGCCACTGCAACTCTACAACAAATCTGCTCACCTAATAAACTCGTTGGTGGGACTTTCACACAAATATACAATGATATATTTGTACGCATGTGCTTGTATACATATTAGGCTTTTGGAGTTGGCTAAGCGAGTTTGGCGCGAAAAGCCCATCAACTAGTCAGCCAGCTGCTTGTCTGCCTTGCGATTGTCGCATGTCAAACTGTGATAATTAATTCGATGCAATCTACATGCAGACATACACACATAATGTAGGTATATATAGTGCAACATTCCCAGTAAATTTTTATAAGCCCAACAACTTTGCTCATACCCACATTCCCACATAGATATATATATATATATAACTATGTACATATGGATGTGCATATTCGTATATATATTTCATATTTGCGAATAGCGAATAAGCCTCAACATGCATACACGTATGTCAGCCCAATTACATACATATAAGTGTATATGTTTATTTAATTTTTCACTTTTCAACTACTTTTTATGCGAAAGTGTCGCACGAGTTGCCCATAGAGGCTTGGAAAGTGTTGAAAAGGTTATGTAAGGTTCAGTTTTTATTAACAACCGTACACCAAAATCTCATCACTAAAACAAAAACAAAACTAATCGTGCAGAAAATGTCGAGTATAATCACCGTTCCCATTACTAATAAAGAAAATACGTTTAAGCCTTACAAGATATTAAGTGATCACTTTAAATGTTGAGCCAGATGAACCTAAATGCAAAAAAGTAAGAAATTAATTTGAATAAATTTCTATGAGTATATTTCCGGTAATACATCAAAACGCACACCACAAAATAGAGGAAAATCGCTTCAGCGGTTACCGTTAATTTTATATGTATTCATAAAATACCTTGAATATTTTTCTGACCTGATTGATTAATGAATTTTCATAGGTCTCACAATTTAGTTCCGCTTAGAGCAATGCTCTCCTAGTATGTCCCCTGTCCTACAATATCCTCTAAGACTTGGTATGAGGGAACAAAAAGAAGATTTATTCAGCCTGCTCCCAAAGAGATCTGCAACAGTACGACGTAATTTTAAAGTTTATCTAAATTGAGATTTTTTTGCTTTCTGATAGCCAGTGAAATATTCAGCATGACATATTGCAATGGGCTCCCCATGCTACGCGCGAAAATACCTTCCATCAACTTTCACTGCTTAAAAAACTTGATTTAGGAGCACGAACTTGGACACTCCACTGTTCTGTTCCCTTGATCCTTATTAAAACTTTTTAGGGTATGAAATCACCATTAAAAGTATTAGTCATAACACCACTACTACTTAAATAAAATAACTGTCATAGAGTACGTTATTTTGTAAAAACAAAAAATACTGCGTACATTAACATTGACATTTTTTAATTTTAATTATGACTGTTTTTAATGGCTTTAATCTTAAAAAATTAAAGTGCTAATGTCTTATGTATACATGTGAACGTAAACAAACATATCCACACACATATTAATCGCAAAATTTACAAAAATATTACCTTGAAAATTACAACTGTACAAATAATTGAATGTGGATACAGAGTCACATTTGAGCCGTTTATGTATCAAAGGGTCTATATATTTGCATATGATTGTTATGATTGTCTGTATGTGCATAGTAACCGTAATAGATCAGAGTTGAGCTAATTTTTCTCATCCACTGTAAGCAACAATTTAATTTACGCATTTTGTTTTTGTTTACTGTTCTTTTTTGCCGTCACAGTAGCGACCACCACGACCACCACGACCAGACGCTGCCAGCGCTGCTTCTGGGTCAAGATCGTTCATTGCATCAATAACCAGAAAACGACTAAGTAAGTATGTAGTAGTAGCAGTAGTAGCAGTTAGTGCAAGTGTGTCTAGTAAGCCTAGTAAGCAATAGGGGCAGCCAAAACAGTAACAACAATTAAGTCACCATAAAATGCAATAAACCAATTTGAATTGTTAATTTTGAAATTTCAATATTATTTGAGCGTTAGTTAGTTCAACTCGGCCTTTAGAGCGTAAAGTTGCAGCATAAATTTGTACGTTTGTACTAGACAAGCTTGCATGTATTTATGTTTGTATAGAATAATTAAACCGGCTATATTAATTTAGTCAAAATGCGCTTGCGGTAATTACAACTTTTTTGATTTTTTTATTTGCTAAATCTCATTAGAAGGCAAATTGCCTTGGATTGACATCAACCTGCTGTAGCACATGTTGCAACCGTTGCAGTCCCACGATGCTGTTTGCAACAGCAGCAACAAAAAATAGTTGAATTTAATTGAATGATCTTCATGTAGGGGTTCTTTTACAAGTTAATTTTTTTTTTTTGAAAAAAGAAGCATAAAAGAAGAAATTTAGTTTACTTTTTATTAGGGCATTAATATTTTTGTAATATATTGTACTTTAATAAAATCTATATATTGTATAATAATATTTCTTTACTGCATTTACAAATATTTTTCTGTTTTACTAACGCTTAACACTCAATATTTTTAGCTATATTATGTTTCGTGTTTTTATTAAAAAATAATTTAATCAACAATTTCAGAAAGGGTGTGTCTCAGTTACAATTTTAATTATAAATAAATTTATTTATTTTTTTCATTCTATTTTTTTTTATTTGAATATATTTCACGTCCTCACTATATAATAATTATTGTTATCATTTGATTTCATTTCATTTCATTTCATTTCATTTCATTTCATTTAATTTCATTTAATTTCATTTCATTTCATTTCATTTAATTTAATTTAATTTAATTTAATTTAATTTAATTTAATTTAATTTAATTTAATTTCATTTGATTTCATTTCATTTCATTTCATTTCATTTCATTTCATTTCATTTCATTTCATTTCATTTCATTTCATTTCATTTCATTTCTTTTCATTTCATTTCATTTCATTTCATTTCATTTCATTTCATTTCATTTCATTTCATTTCATTTTATTTTATTTTATTTTATTTTATTTTATTTTATTTTATTTTATTTTATTTTATTTTATTTTATTTTATTTTATTCTATTTTATTTCATTTTATTTTTTTTTGTTTTGTTGTATAATATTCCATTTTATTGCACCTGTCTTATATTTAATTTTTTCAAAAATTTATTTCATTTAAGCTTACTTTAAGTAATGTCTGTAAGAATATTTGTAGGATAAACAGTCCAAACAAAATATTTATTATCATTGAAATCAATACTTATATATGTATGTTTATATTTATGACCTCTTCTTCCTATAATATTTATCAAAAGGACACCCAAAAACCGTTTCCCCAATGTTTAACACATTTGAAAAAAAAAACACATTTTTTTTCGGAATGATTTATATATTTATAGGTATATACATATACAGATATGTATGTCTGAAAGTAATTTTCATTTGCAACAGATTTCAACCATTAAAATTCTATCCATAAACGATAAGAAAGTCTATCAATTGTTACTTTCTTACCTTTCGTAGAACTGCACCTTAAATATTTTTATCTGCCATGTCGGCAAATATGTAACAGACAAACGCACACATCACATCAATTACGTATGTATATGCACTGGAAAGTATTGGGTTTGTGTCACATAAATTGCGTTGATTGAATGAAAAGAATTTTTCGGAACTATCCATATACCTAGTAACAATAAACAATGTTTTTGAGAATAAATAAATTGTGTTCTAAGAAATAATTTGTTGGGAAAAATATTATTAAATTACATTTCCTAAGTATCTGTGCCATGAGAAATTTTTATTTTTTATCCAGTCTTTAGACTACCCAAAAATGTATTTTATTCACCGCCCATTTAGTGTGCTTATGGCACAAATTATAGTTCCTTTGTCTATTTACTTTTTTTAACAAAATTAATTAGCCTATGACTATAAAAAATGTTTAACCCACCTCTTTAACATACAATATATCTATATATACCCTTACTTAGGTTCATAATGTTACTGGTAAAAAAACAACAAGAAAACGTTTAGTTAATTTTAAGAAGAGAATTGTCATTTCCATAGCATTTGACTTTTTTATCAAACATAAATCATTTGTGGTGCTTGACATTGATTTTCAGACAATTTCTTATTTTTCATGCCCATTCTTTTTACACTAATAATCATATGATAAGTGCAAAAACATCAGCAATTTACTAGTCGTAGAAAAATATGTGCACATATACATACATATGTACGTACCTATATGTATAATTGCAAATCCGCCCTGCAGGAAAAAATTAATGAATTCAAGTTTTACTGTTTAATTCAATATACATTTGAAATATGTTGAAAATACATGTTTTCATCTATATTAAAAATTCTCAAGCATTTCTCTTGCTGATCGCGTATACAAATATTAAACGCTGCTATTAGCTGCTTCCAGAAATATTTTTCAAATTTTTGAGCCTACATTGCAATTACTTGGAGACTGTCTCCTAAAAATACATTTAAAAGAAAACTTTTTATATATCTTTAAATTTATACCATTGTAATCTATGATTTAAGTGGCATTTGCTCCATGAAATTTTGGTAAATTATAATTTTTCCACCTCAAACAAAAATGTATCTGAATAATATTTAGTTTCAGAAGCACACATTAAATTTCCTTACTGGGTGTTAACATCAAGTCAATTCTATCAGAAAATTTAAATGATAGTCATCTGTTTTGCAAGTTCGCACATACACAAAAACGTACATACTTGCATGCCATAGCACATATACATGTACTTGTGTGTTTGAATTTAATGACCGGCTTTCATATCAAAAATTACTTTTAATTATAGCGAATCTGCACACACATATCTAAAGTGTGTAGTAATTGTACTTGCAATATCAACTTTCTACTTCAATATTGCAGCAGCCACTAGCCGCCAGTCACAGCTGGCCACAACAAACATCCATTGTCGGTTTCACTTACTTTATCAAGAGAGAATAATTTCCATGTGCACACAGGTTGTTTGGCTCTTCCTCCAGATTTTTTTGTGTGTTCTTTTTTTTGCTTACTTATTTTTCATATTCCACTTATTGTGCACCAGCAAAGACATAATAACCTAATAAATTCTCCACGTACACGTTGCAATTTTTCGCGTTTTTTGCAATTTGTTTTTTATTATTAGTTGTTATTTTTATTATTTCTGCTTTCTGCTATTATTCTTGCGCTTAATGGGTAAGAATATAGAGAAGTTCAAACTGCAGTCAAGCACATTACATATTATTACACTTTTTGCCGATAATATTTTTTCTTTAAAAATAAGGTAAAGTGGATTGGTTGGGTTCATTAATAAATATTTTCGTTCTCAAAATTTTTCAGAAATATACATATGTATGTACTATATTTATAGAACACCATTTGCTTGCGAATTCCGCCTGAATTCCTACAACATTTAATGGTTTCTCACTACAAACGGAAGATGTAATTTAAGTGCACTTCATGGAAAACTTTTTACTTATTTATTTCCTGGAAACCGAGCCGAATAACAAAAACTTTATTCGCAATTAGAAATAAATATTCAAATCGAAAGAAAAATACTCGCAAATATCGCGTTACACACACTTTTGCTTGCTCCGCTTCATATGTTTGAGCTCAACGGCTATCCCAATCGTTCTGCCGCCACAGTCGTTCATTCGTTCAATTGTGCATTGAATCTGTTTGAATTTTACGGGCAGTGAATGCATGTGTTTCTGTTTACATACGATATAAACATATGCCCGATATACGAGGGTATATTGAGTTTGTTTACCTAACGGTTGTTTTTCTGAAAGATAATTTCGTTTAATTTTAAATTAAACTGGCTAATTACATTTTGAAGCTAATATAATCGTCTTCCCACACTTCCTTTATAAATATTCAAATATTTAAATTCGGCAAATAATAATAATAATAATAATAATAATAATAATAATAATAATAATAATAATAATAATAATAATAATAATAATAATAATAATAATAATAATAATAAATACGTAAATACTAAATAATCAGTTGAGAACGAAATTCAGAATCTTTTCAGCTATTTGTAGTGTACGGTAGAAAATTTAACTTTACAGAAACAATTTTTAGTTATAGCACACTTCATTTCAAATTTGATAGGTGGGTGGAGTTTTTCTTAAATCAACCGTTGGGCCATTAAGGCTAGTCGAAAATATAATATTTACGTATGTAGGTAGCTACTTGCCTAGATTTACATGAGGAACCTGGAACTAAAATATTCGATAAATTCGTATTTGATGCGAAGGCATTTTTTTTACTTAGATTATTAACATGTGAAACACTTTTACATTGGGAGGGGGACCTGAAACTAATTTATACCAGGTATTAAAATATTGTAATAAGAAACCATCAAATGAAAAATGTTGATAGGCTCAGAACTTATATTTGCTTAATTTCATAAAAATCTCGTGTTTATTTTTTGTGTTAAAGTTTAACTTTTTATTAATATAAAAATAACTTCATTTATCATACAAATTTTTTTCCTCTCCACTTGAGAGATATATTCTTAAGCCACAGTGGTGAAAATTAGTAACAACTTTTGCTCTGTTCTCTTGAATGATTATCAGTATCAAGTATCAACTAAGATAATACATTTTTAAGAGCACAATTCGTAACAGGTCATTGTGAAGAAAAATACATTATTAAGCCTCCCATAGATCAGATCAATAATTCAGCTAAAATATACATTAACATCTTCTTTCTATGACCTAATAAAAATATTATAGTCGCGGCTCCACCCGCATCTGGCCCTAACTCACTTTCCTGCATGTTCTTTTTTCATTTTACTTTTCACATTTGTTTTGCTTCACTTGCTGGTTATTGTTTGCCGACATTTGACAGTGACAAGCAACAACGAAAAATCCGAATCCCAAAGAACCTGACGAACTGAACTGTGCGAGCATACGATCTACCGGCCGTGTAACTTCAGCTGAACGCTGCTGCTTCACCTGTGGGCTAACAACGTGACGTGACGAACGCAAACATAGCTCGATTGACTGACGCACAATCTGTGTGTAAGGGTATGTGTACTTTTTTCTCTGTATGCGTGATGTTGGTGGTGGTTTTGGTTGCAGCGGAAATATGAAATATCCCCCAAAACAGCAGAGCAACAGCAGGCTGGAAGGCAAACAGTCGGGCAGTTCGGGCGGCTTGTATTGTTTGCTCGGACAACACGAGTTGAGTTTTTGTTTTTTTCCGCTACTTCAACTGGCACTCTTGCTCCCACACAAACTCATATGCACACTCTTTTTTCTCTTGGTCACATTCATTTGTCCGCAGTGAATTTTTTAATCGTGATTTACCCGCTTACATTTGTGGTTTATTGCCGTTGTTGTTTTTGCTCATTTCATTTGTTGTTCACCCAATTCGACGTCACTCATTCGCCTACTTCAACTTCTTTCTTACCTGTGTTTGCTGTTGCGTTATTAATGTTGATATGTTTTTATAACCGCCACTGCATAATGAGCCTCACTAGTTCAATGGGTTGCAATGTGTGTCGGTAAGAGTGAGCATACTCGTTCGATTAAGTCGATCTGCTACTTTACCGGTTTGACATTTAGCCGCTAGTGGGTCGTCGTTCGCCCAACAAAGTTATCTTCTTCTTCGGTTTTTGTTGTGATTTTTGCAATTACGTCGTCTCTCGTTGTTGTGCATTTACAAGTAAAGCATGTCGAAATGTCAATGTTGTCGCTGTTTATAAATAATAGTGATGATGACACTGAATATTACACAAGGAGGAGATAGAGGGGAACCAAACACAAGTAGCGGTCATTACTGTCGGAAGATTATAGAAAAACGTTTTGATTGGGATGCAATTAAAATGAAAGAGCAGAAAATTGACATACTAAAAAGAAGATTTTACTTGCAAACATACGTGCATACATAAATATTCATTTATATGGAGATATATACATTGGGCCCAATGAGGGTAATAACGAATTATTCTTAAATTTTCTATAATATTTTTTTTTTTAGGTTATATCGCTATTATGAGGAACTTGAGAAGCGGAGCGCCAGGCTCTAGTATGCTCTAGCATTCTATGAGCACGCAGAGCATCTTAATGCACGGCTGCTCAAGTACGGTAGTGAGGAATTGATGCATATGAAAATGAACATGGCTTTGAATTAGAATGTAAGTGGGATTTAAGGTGACCCCAACGTTTACATTAATTATCATGTGCCAGGGCAAGTTGTGTTAAGTCGGCATTATGAGTTTTCAATAAAAGATTTATTGCATACTGTCAACCGCGAGGATGCCAATATATGGAATATACGACGACATTATAGTGCAGCGAAACGTCGCTCGTTTGATCGTGGTAGGCCACTGCTGAAAACAGAGGAAAAAATTCCAAAAACAAAATCAAGTGGAGACGAACTTGGCTTCAATTTGTATGTTCAACGATAGAACGATCCAGAATAGTGGTTCTCACTCGCACAGCTAATTATAATATATTTGAACTTCAATCATAATCAGAAATTTTTTCGAAAAGGAGTTCCCACCTGGATCAGCCACGTCCTAATCGCAACTAAATTGAGTGGTGCTCATATCGTTTCCATATCGTTTGATATGAACTCAAAGAAGCCTGAAAGTAGTACTCTAGCTCTCAACTTATTTTCTTTAAAATATGTTTATTTATTAAATTAGTTGAGAAGCTATAGACTCTCTTTATGATGAAAACAAAAAATTTAATTAATAGGTTTGTCTAATATGATTACCAAGTTTATTTTTGGTTTTACCAGCCTGCACTGTCTAAGAAAAATCGAGTGTTACTAATTTTCTAACCAAAACACAAACACAAATTTATCCTGAAAAAGAGCACCTTAACCTTTGAGTGACTTTCTCACATTTGCTCTTCTTCTATTCACCTTATCTGATCGTTGATGACTAATTGCAGGAAAAACGCCTACCGTCAAACTGTTACCGGGCTTCTTCAACCCTTCATTTACTTGTATTCAAACGTGGCTGTGAAAATAAATGGTCAGCTAGATAGTTACACAAACAAAGAATATCCATAACAATGTAGCAATTAGAAAAAAATTTTAAAGGGACGAAGACGAGACGGGTTAGAGTGAGGAATCAATCATAAGTTAGACATGCCTTAAAACACGCACGTATGTATACACACATCCATACATAAAATACTTCACAGAAGTACTATGTATGTGTGTATACCTGTCATAACGTTGGTGCACCTATTCTTAAATACAACCAAACAGTCATTACACAGTCTCTAACTTGAGGTGCACAAGTGTTGGTGTCTGTAGGAAAACTACTCATTACGGAAGTTAATGCGTAGGAAATGTCCATTTCTATGCTGAAAGAATATAAAATAGCGAAAGAAGCAAATTTTTACGTCGACAGTGAGCAGCGTGGGATCGTCGAAAAACAAAGTAGTTAATGACATGTGTGTTTGTATGTATAGGTTCGCCTGTAAGGTGTTGGCTGGATTTTCATGACTGCTCACTGTCAACAGATTGCGCACAGATTGTAGATATGCCACCGTTTTTTTTTTTTCTTCAATTTTCAAAAGTGTCCAGACAAAGTTTGGTTCAAGGTTGACACAGCGGGCAAGTCATTTGCTTGAAAATATTATATTATATATCACATTTAATATGGGAATTGCATTTTTTCATGTTTGCTTTTGACTACATGTGTTTATTTGAGGATTTGTCTAACTTTTTGGCGACAATTTTCATGGACAAATAAGAAATAAATATAAGAGAAGTATTTTCATGAAGAATAAAAGAAAATGATGAAACACACTGGTATTTTGTAGCAAAAGTTGACGCCTTCATTAAATTTAGCAGCAATGAGTCGCCTAAAAAATATTCCTTTTTAGATTTGTATGTATGTGCATACATATATAGGAAAATTAGCAAATATTAAGACATCAAGATTTCCTTCTAATCCATTCTCATTATTTCACTAACTTGAAAAAAAAACACATCTATTGATGTTAACTCGGCGCATGTAATAATTAACTGTAAATAATTTCCTCATCAAACAAAAACGTGCTGAATATTAAAAAAATGCGTTAATACAAAATTAGAAATATTATCATAAACAAATAATTACATTTTACTGATTAAAAAATCGCTACCTGTTGCTCAAGGTCGCAATAAAAATAACAAATTAACAAGTAGAAAACGGCACACACACTTGCATATATAGTGTATTTTGTATAATATATAATTAATAAATATGAGCGAACACTAAGCTATAAATTATATAATCATTCTAAAGAATATTTAATCGTTTTGAGAACGTACTTTTACCAAACGAAGTATCGTAAATGTTGCTTTTTTTATTATTTTGGCTTATTATATATATTTTTTATTATTAATTTTGGTATAGTAAATTAATTTCTTTTAAATAATTTTAATGTAATAAAATAACAAAAGAACCCACAAAATCAGTTAAGAGTTTAAATATATGTATATATCATATTATTATAAGATTTTAGAATTAAATTTAACATAATAAATTGGTAAAAAATATTTTTTTATATATATGTAATATGTATATATTAGTTTATAATTTTGTTTACTAAATAAATAGCATAAAAATGGATAAAAAAGGAAAAAAAGTCTACCTATAACTGTAATTGGTTTTTTACCCTTTCCTACTGTAAACTCGCATCCGTTAAAAAAATCCGTTACATGGTTAACTTAATTCATTGCACATTAGAACGTCAGTTACTTAATATATTTACTTATGTTTATATTCATATGTATGTATGTATATACATATTTTTATATATGTACATACATTGGT